CTCCTCATCCCATCCCTGAATTTGCAATGCAGCATCCTGCTATTCAGAGATTTTCTCAGCATCAGCCTACTCAGACCAACAGGAAAATACACTGTTCTCTTCACTGCTTCTAGTTTGCTTTATTCACTGTTGAAACTAGTGCAAACATGAGTTCTAGTTCTTCTATAATTCTACTTTTTAAAGAAGTACAGTCTGGTAAAACCAGTTTATTCAAGAATTAAAACTGCTAGGACTATGAAGACAAATATATGTACGTATATGCATGACTGGGACATTGTGCTGTACACCAAAAATTCACATACTGTAACTGACTGTACTTCAATTAAAAAAAATAGGAAAAATTATTTAAAACTACTAGCTATATATACAAAACCATGACTCCTATCAGAATAGTGGTCTAAATTCAAGTAATAATTCAACTTTTTATGATGTCACTTTGGAAAATAACTATTCCCTATTGAGTGTTTAAATAAGTTCCAATCTATCTATGAAAGAACTAAAACGTTTATTTAATATCCATTTGATTATATTATTTTGCCAAAAATTATGCTAAACTGACAAATACAGCTTATATAATTACTTCCACAAAGCAAGTAAGGAACAAACAAAACCCTGGAACACACAATCTGTAACAAGCAAACTACTACAGAGATGATGTCCAAAGTTACCTCATGTCAATGAGTCTAACTGCAGGTGAGTTTTTAAGGAAGAAGAGTTCTTTGCTAAATATTAAATTTTTTAAAATTTCAGGGGAAGAGTCGAAATGGACAAATATTTCAAAATCATTTGAAATGGTATGGTAGTAATTTAGCTCACTTAAAATGTTCTAAAAGTTAAGTACATCAATAAACTAGAATAATGACTACTAGAAGCTAATAGGTTACTACAGAAATCATTTCCACAAATTACCCAAATAAAAGTAAAAAAAAAATCAAAAGATAAAGTTAATAGATGTTCATTTTAACTAAAATGAAAGAATTTTTCATTTTAAATACACCTGAAGGCCTCAAAGGTGGAAAAAAATGTAGGAAACAAGATGAACAAATGGACACCTAAATGCCTAGTTTGAGGATCTCCAACACAGACGGCTTTCACCTTGTCCATGTGAAACAAACCGACTCTTTTATCATAGGGCACTTTTATAACATTAGAGACTACAAAAATTTAGTACATTTCCTTAGGTAAAGTTATGTTCAGCAGACTGCTGAAAGGAGTAACTTTTTTAAACAAAGGTTTTACTTCGGCTCACTTAAGCCTTAAAATTACACATTACAACCAAGAATGGGAATTTTCACAATGAATAATCTCAGTAGATGGAAAGAACTGTTGATCAACATGACCTGCAGCATTCTGAATACTTGGAAGAGCAGTCTAACAAAGCACCCTAAAACATTCTAAAACAATCTGAAGCAATAGTCACAATTCAATGAGCCATGCACTTTTAATCCTTTACACCTGGAAGTAAATCTTAAGGTGGAGAAGGTAGCTGATTAATCCATCGTGAAGGAAATCTTACAAAATTAGAAAGCCTGAAACACCTGTTATACTGATTAAAGGAGAACAGTTTCCAGAACAGTCCTTCTGCCTAAGACTTAAATACATGTAATATAGGTACTTTATATCATATGTATTTGGATTTTGAAGGGTTAAGAAAGCAGAGTTGTAGGCCATCTAAAATTATTTGCAGACGTGAGGAATACCCTTTAAGAACAATATAACATATATTGGAACTTTCAGTACATTTTCTTGCTATTTTATTTTATAAAAACTATGACAAAAAAGGGAGAAAGTTGGGAAACCAAAAATGAGAGAGCTGAACAAACTATTTTCCCATCATTATACCTCAGTTGAACATCCTGTTCCAGCTGGATGAACTACCATGAATTAATACAAATTGTCTCCAGCAAGTTTGTTTTGACTGCATTCACTTGTCAATTTCATCAGCCAGCTCAGTGAGAGCCTTTTCATTCATGTGCTCTGTTGTCTGAGTGGAGTAGCTATGTTAGCAGCCCCTAGACACAACCCGACTACTACCAGAGGGTTTCAAAGAAGTTTTTCAGGTTATCAGCTCATCCATCCTTAAGTCTCTTTAGAGTCCAGAAATCAGTCTCATCTCTCCAACCAACCTCCACCAGAAGAGTAACAGGAAAATAACAGATTACTAATAAGCCAACATTTTTGAGAAACAGTAATTATTCTGTTTCTCTAAAATATAAGTGTTTTGAGTCTTGCAAAAGCTACAGAATATGCACTAGATCTAAAAATCACTTTCTTGATCACTGCATTTTGACTTTAACAAGCTGTAACAAATTCTTATTTGATTTGCAAAACCAGGTTCTTAGCTCTTCCTTTTCTGCTATGAGGTTAAGTATAATCTTAAAAGGCTTGTTTTCTTTCAGTCAGTGGTAAGAACATAAACAATAATAGATTTCTCATCTTTCATTGCACTGTGGCAGAATCCTCTGCATTCTCTTCCACTCTATCAGCAACCTAGGTGAACAACCAACAAGTATATGTATCCAAAAATAATTGTCTGTCTCTGTGAAGCACCTCGTGGATTACAAATACATATATATATATATATATGTGTGTGTGTGTGTGTATATATGTATATAAACATACACACACACGGCATGTAATTTTCAATTCTACAATCTAAAAGTGCTACTAAGAGATGCAGTTATGAACACTCGGGATATCTGACCTTCAATGTTAGTACTAACAAAGAGGCTCTCCTTACCAAACTTAAGTCAGGCAGCTCTGAACTCTTCTCAATTAGGCCCTGACTTTTGGACTTCTGTGTTCATTTCTGCATCATCTAATTTTAGCAAGAATCCTCTTAGATGGGTTTAGCTAGAAACCCCCTTTACCCCGATGTACTAGCTTTTCATCCACTGGCCCCCACTGTGCTCCTTGGCTATAAATTCTCACTTCCCTTTGTATTCAGAATCATGTCCAGTTCTATATTGAGGTCTCTTTCCCAATGTTGCATAGCTTTTCTAAACAAATTCTTTTTTACCACTAACTAGCTGCGTAAGTATGCTTAAGTCACTGAACCTTTCTAGGTTTCAGTTTACTCATCTGTAAATTTAAGGGAGGTGGAGTGGATCTCTAAAGATCCCTACCAGGTCTACAATTCTCATGAAGAAATCTGGTAGAGGAAAATGAAGTACAGAAAAAATTACTCAATTTGGACTTGCTGGAGGTCACGGAGCAGTTAAGCCAGGACATCATCCAGATCTCCCAACTCTCACCCAACATGATGTTCATTTTACAAAAACTAGTCACCTTTACCTTAGTGCTGAAACCAAAACCCAGGCAAATCCAGAGAAAGGGTATGACACCCAGGGTGCTGCTTCATCTTACAATCCGTTGTTCAGTGTTTTTTAATTCCTAAGCAGCATTACATTTGTTTCATAAATCATGTTTCTCTTCTAGGAAAATGTATCATATTACTTTTGCCAATAAGACAGGCAGAACACATAATAATTAATCTTGACTCTAGATGACAGCAAATATTAAGAGATTGTACTCTATTTCCTACCATTATTTCCTTCTTTTTTGCCATTAAACATTCCATTCAGTTTAGTTTACCCTAAAAGACTCCGAGATACCACGTGGCTCAGCTGAGTGAACAAACTTGGTGCTGAGACAATTCTGACTCCACCAAGATGGTTTTACTTCCTCCAAGTGTCAGTTATTTCACCCATATTCACAAGATAAGTTATGAAATGACAACTAACATCAAAAATGTGAAGTTTAAAAGTATTAAAAATCTAGTGAACACTGTATTTACATGCCATGGTATAATAATCTCAAATGTCTATTTTCTTACCTCTAAATATAGGGCCACATTAAAAAAATTTTATTCTACTGCTCCTGCTTGGAATTTTTTAAAATACCACACTGAATAATGCCACTTCCTCCTTGGTATCTTTCTATGCCATTTTTACCTGAGGGACAAGGAATATGATACATTTTAAAGTTAAGCAGTCTTTAAAACACATACAAACACAACTATCCTTTCAACACTCCCTTCATCTTTCTTTCACTTTTCTGTTATCATTCTCTAACGAACTTAAATTTTGTCAATAAAAGTCCTGTAAAATGTTATTTTCTGTGAAACGCAAGAAACAAAATGCTGCATGACCTAATGATAGCAATCGGTATTTTTAACACTGTAAGCATTTCAATTTACTGTTCACTAGCACATTATGACATCATTGCCTTCCAGTGTTTGCTCTCATTAAACAATCCTGTTTCCATCTTTGTTTCCTTGCCTTCAATACATAGATTACAAATGTCGTATTGTTCTCGTTCACCATTTCAGTTAAGAAGCTTAAAACTGACTTTGTAGTTGCACATTTCTTTGCTCGGTAAATAACACTTTCATTACAACTGAGCTGGAGAGGTCAATCTCTCACAAAAAGGCAGGATCTGAACAAGATCAAATAGCAACACCAAGGCCCAATAGGAAGGGAGGCGGAGTCAACACACCACCTAACACGACGGGTTCTAGGGCTTCCATACACAGATAAACAAAGGAAGTGGATTTTCCCACGGCGCCGCATGTGCTTCAACCAACCTGAGGCACTCGTGTGGAAGCCCACAGCTCATTACCTTGAAAACGCTGCCCAGGTGCTGAATTTTTCTAAAGGATCCCACTACAGGTGGACACCCAGAAAGTCAACGGAGACAGAGATGGATGGGGAAGAGTGGCTGACCTTCCTACCACACCACCAAAGAATCTAATAAATATCTACCAACATAGCGACACATAGCTCCTCCGCCGCTCAAGATACAATTTTCAAGGGCAGGAGAAAGGGAGCGTGGGGGTGGGCTTCAGGTGGGGCAACTGCGCGGAGCTAGAGAAAGGAGCCAAGTTCAGGGGCAAAGGGTCGCGGGCTCTGTAGGGAGGGCCCCACAGAGCCAAGGGGAGTGCGTGCCCGGGGCGCGCGAACGCCCGAACGGCCGGGGGCGGGCTCGGGCCCCTTCCTCACCTGGCAGCCCTTCTTGTGGTGAAAGCCGACCACCACGATGTGCAGTACGGGCCCCCGAGTGGCGCCATCGCCGCCCCGCCCCGCCTTCTCCATGGGCAGCCGCCTCAGGCCCGCACCACGACGACGTCAACCGCAAAGAGCGGCGGGCCGGGCAAGCCAGTGATCCCCAGGAGGATGGCGAGCGGCGGATTTCAGGCGTCAGGGAGGGCGCCGCATGAGGACCGCGCCGGGGGCCGGGATGAGGCCGAGGCTGCTGCAGCTCTGCGCCGCCCCGCGGGCCGCGGCCGCGCTTCCCTCATCCGCTTCCGCTGCTTCCGGGCCGTCACCTGATGCGGCGGCCGCCGCCGGCGAGGCGGGACTAGGCAGGACCCGGAGGGAGCTGAGGGGCGGAGCGCCGCCGGGGTGGGCGGGGCCCGGTGGGGCGGCTCGGCACACCTGTCCCTGGTCACCGCTTCCCCGCGCGACGATTCCGCCTCCTCTGCCCTCGCTTTCTCCTCCTCAGAATCTTGGTCCCTCCCCACCTCTTTCCTCAGCGTTCCTTCCTATTTTTGGTTCACTTTCCGAGTATCCAGTTCCTTCACTCTCTCCTTCGCCGCTCTGGCCTAGGGTTTCTCTGCCATTTACTCTTAAATTTTGGTAACAGGGAGGACTGTTGGTGAGGCTCTGTAGTTGTGTATTCAAACCTTCAAATCACTACTTACCCAGGGTTTCGCTTGTACTTCGTTCTAGGTTTTTTCCCCCTTATTTAAATATTATATATAGGAGTGTGGAAGCGTTTTAAGGCCTGAAGCAGAATACCGTTGAAAAGAAAGGAAATTTACGGAGAGACCTGTAAAATGATTATTCTAGTCCTGCTATTTTAAAAAACATATCCATTCTCCATTTTTCTGGGTTTAGTACTCTAGTCAGCACAAAATATATGGGGTCTGTTATCACCAGGGTATTTTATTTCCTTACTGACTGTACTAGTTCAATTTTTTCAAAAGAACCATTGAATCTCATTCTGTGTCAATTTAAAGTGAATAATGGAAATACTGATAGGTTTAACAAGTCTTATCCAGGGCAGTCTGGGGATAAATCTAAAGGATAGGTGACTATTTCAAATAGTTTTCGCAAGTCTTAGACTAACTGGCTGTGAAGTTTACCGTTACAAGTTGCACATCTCAGTTTAGACAACTTTAGCAATTAATACTTCTACTTCCAGCTTTGAAATTTAAGGACCCGCATTCTAATCTAAGGATAACTGAGAAAAACAGTAAACTTTTTATAATCTACTTTCTATGATTCAGTAGAACTTTTTTCATGCATGTCAAGCTCATGCTCTGTCACTGAGCTATACCTCTCTCCCCTCAGTAGAATTATTTTAATGCTAATAAAAATACTGTAGAAATTTTTCAGAATGTTGCTACTGTTTCTTTTCTGTATTATAAAATTCTTGGCCTTGGTGCAGAAATGTGTGTGAAACTTTATTATTCCATGTATACAGAACATGTTACTGTTTTCTTTTGTCTGCCTTGACATTTTCCACAATTGGCATAGCTAAAACTAAAGTGTAATTGAATATCTTTTTAAAAAGATATAAGGGTAGGGCATATCAGAACTCTGCATCTACAGTGAATGCTGATTGCTTAATTCATTGTGCAGAAGACCCCAGTAACAGCTTTGTAAAAATCTGTGTCATTTTGCATCCTAGGGCCTCCAACTAAGATTAAATAATTTATTCATAACTTTTATGCTGCTTAAATGTTTAAAAATATGTCATTAAAATAAACTACTGAAATAAAAATATGTCGGTTAAAATAATGATATAAACAAAGAAGATCTGTTACAGGGAAAATTGGGAGACAAAATAAGCAAGGGGATTTCCAGAATTTTTTCTATGTCTAATAATACAGACCAGTTCATTTAACAGTTTAGAATAACAACTTTTACATTCGTTTTTAATGAGTTGTATTAATATAAAATAAATTCATTAACAAGATGTTTATAATGTTCTTTATTTTAAAAAGTATTAGAAAAAGATGATTAAGATTGGAAATAGCAATCTGAGATAATGGAATCCTTTCTGAACATTATTTTGAAATATTATTTGCTTGTATTTAAAAAAATGTTTTTTAAGGGGTAGATAATTGGGTTTACTTATTTATTTTAATGGAGGTACTGGGGATTGAATGCAGGACCTCCTGCATACTAAGCATGTGCTCTACCACTGAGCTATACTCTCCCCTCTTTGGGTTGTATTTTTATGATGACATTTAACGCCAGGGAAAAAATTTAAAATGCTTTTCTGAACACACAATACATTGAAGAGCCTTTTTTAGTTACATGTATTTTATGATGAATTACAAATTCTATTTTGTCAGCTCTGTTAGAGCTAACAGGAGAAAAACTCTGGAGACATAGAGCTAAGATATTGTTTTAAATTCATTAAAAATGAGCTCTCCATCTGGAATTGGCCTGTTGTTTCATTTTGTGTCTTGCCTCAGGAAAGAATGCAATAAAATAAAACCATTCCCTTCCTGCAATCTCCATTAACCCTACTGTGTAAATGAATTATATCTCCTTTTTTAGAATTTAAAGAGACTTTCTTTACTCTTCTTCAATAGTATTGAATATTGCCAATGTTAATTTTGTTCTTCTAATGAATTTTGACTTTGTTAAAGCATATTTTTCTGAATTTTAAACTCTACCAGGTAGCAACAGTGCTTTGAATTTAGTCCCTACTCTCATTATGGTATGATGAAAATAAAACATGAAGACTCAATTCTTGTTTTATTTTCATCAAACAGCAACAGAAAAGGGCTTCACAAAGAAATTTGGCATTTGTCTTTGGCATCATATTAAGATTTAAAGAGGTTGTTAAGGAATATGAGTGAAATAGAATAAGAATCAATTTAAAGAACATTAGACATTATAGTACACCTGGAACTGTGATAGGCAAAGTGCATTAAAGAAATAGAGGTAGGGAGGGTATAGCATGCACAAGGTCCTGAGTTCAATCCCTGGTACCTCCATCAAAAGAAAAAAATCTCTGGTACCTCCATCAAAATTAAAAAAAAAAAAAAAAAGGAAACCTGATTACCTCCCCCCAGAAAGTAAATAAATAAAAATAAATAAACATTCAAAAAAAAAAAAAAAAAGAACAACAACAAAGAAAGAAAAAAGAAGAAAGAAAAAAAGAAATTGTAAGCAGATAGGGTAGGGGGGTCCTGGGAGTAAAAGAACCAGATATAGATTTTTTTTTCATGAAAAAAATTTTTCTTATTGAAATATAGTTGATTTACAGTGTTGTGTTAATTTCTGGTGTACAACATAGTGACTCATTTATACATATGAAAGAGTAAGAACATGTAGGGTCCTCCCTGGTACATTCTTGAGTTCCAAGGGGCAGATTCAAATAGTTCCCTCAGGGAAGGGACAGAGTGCAGAGGCAAGAAAGGAAAAGTCAAGAAACAATAGTACAGCCTTGGGGCAGGGTCCTGGTTCCCTCTCAAAAAATATACATAATATCTTTTGAGTTCTTTGGCAGGAATAAAGGCCCCCACCCAGGTGGGGAGGCAACTTCAGGCTGAGCACAGGATTTCTGGAACACTGCCCTGTTACCTCAGCACCAACCAATCAGAAGAAAGTCACACACCCTGCTGTCCTCACCCCAAATTTTGTCTGTAAAGACTTTTCCCCGAAAATCTTCAGGGAGTTCGGGGTTTTCAGACATGAGCTACCTGTTCTTGCTTGGCTCTACAGTAAACGTTTCTCTGCTCCAAACTCTTGACGTTTCGGATTGTTTGGCCTCATGATGCAACTGAAGGAGGATTAATAAAATGGTCACATTAGGCTAACAGATTGCTTACTCTTATGCTTGCCCTTAAAACGGTCGACTAATCTGACTGACTGGTTGCTACTCACAGTTCCAGACCCATTGTTAAAACTAAATCTATTAGTTTTGTTGTAGAGAATAACCTTTGTTTTGTTGGAGGTTTACAGGGACACCATGACCTAGCCCAGGGGCATGGCTGCAAGAACAAAGAATGCCTGCAGCAGGAAGATTACAGCAATCAACCACACCCCCTCCCTTATTTTCCCTCCTGCTCCCTTATTTTTGTATAAAAGGAGCCTGTATCCTGACTAGAGCAGGATGGTTCTCCAAGACATTAGTCAGCTTTCCTCTCGGTCTGCCGGCTTTCTGAATAAAGTCACTATTCCTTGCCCCAACACCTTGTCTCCCGATTTATTGGCCTGTCGTGCGGCGAGCAGAACAAGTTTGGATTCAGCAACAATTTTACTATTTCTGCTTTATTCCAGTAATTGAAAGCAATAATCATACTTGGTTTCTGAGTTGTTCTCCAGGGAGGTCACAGAACGGTAGCCTTACAAAGTAAGCTAAATACCAAGAAGACCATGCCTTGGATGCTTACGAGATAAAGATTAAAAAAGTGACAACTGCTAGCCTCTATAGAATTGGTCACCTGGAGGCATCATTACGCCATTCTAAGTCTTCTGATGGGAAAATAATTCTGTTGATTGTTATCAATGCTTTATTGTTTAAGCTGTGGCTATATAATCACCCTACCCCATTCCTAAGCAGGGGCTCACAGCGTTGAAGGCACTAGCCTGCTGTAAGTCCTCTTTGCCCAGCAAAGCAATAAATCTGTCTCTTTTCTTCTAAGCTCCAAGACCCTATCCCTGAGTTATTTGGCTCGTCAGGGATGGGGCCGGTCTTTCGGCAGCACGTCCGGCACGTGAACTTGTGTTCAGTCACACACACACACACACACACACACACACACACACATATTCCTTTCTGTAGTCTTACCTTCTGTAAGGTATTGAATATAGTTCCCGGTGCTATACAGTAGGATATTATTCCTTATTATAGATTTTTGACATAAGAGAAGCTACTTTAGGCCTAAACTGTTTTGTGACCTAAGCCTGGCCACCACAATGCTCGCCCTTGAACAGGTCTCAGTAACATCTTAAGGGAACAGAAGAATGAATGATTGTTATTAGGCAAGAGAAGTAATAATAGCAAAGATAATAAATCAGTCATAAAGACTCCCAGTTCTGTTTAAAGGATAAAAATTAGCCTGAAGCACTTTCTCAAGCTTTTTTGCCGAATTTCAACACCGCTCAAGCACTCAACCACCAGATCAACTGGAACCTAAGATGAACTTTTCTGACCCTCGTGCCTTCAGTCGACTAAAGCGACTAAAGCTTTGGCTCTGTCAACCTTTGCCCCAATTCTTTGCTAAATTCTCTGCTCAGGCCCCTTCACCAATATGCATGTACCTTTTGCTTAAAACTTCCCTAGTTTTGGGGTTTGGAGAGATGCTGTTTTGGGAAAGATCCCTGGTATTCGCCTTCCTTGCCCCAGGTAATAAATTCTTCCTTCTCTAGATCTTTGGCTTGGTTGTGTCTTTTGGCTACACACCCACCAAGAGGCAAACTCAGTTTTCTGGTAACAGAATTCTGCCTTTAAGTGGCTTATGTCTTTAAAAATATGATAAACGTGAAACCAGCATCTACTCTAAGCCAACCATCATGTGAAATATTAGGAAACAAAGATAAATAAGTAATAATAGCTCACATGTAATGAGTAGGCCCTATGTGCCAGTCCTCTGCTAACCACTTTTCATGAATTATCTTACCTAATCTTCACAATAATCCTATAAGTAGATACTATTATCCTTATTTTTTCCAATGGGTAAATTGAGACTTAGAAAGGTTGAATAGCTTGCTCAACCCAGGTCAAATAACTAGAAGGAATTGTGGTGGAGATGAGATTTGAATCAAAGTAATTTAACTTCAGAACTAATGTATTTAATCACTGTACTTCTTCCCAAAATTAACTTTGAGGAACCCACAATTTTTGCAGGGGTTGCGTGTGGTAGGTTGGGTTTTATTCCACTGGGTAGATAATTATAAGAGAATACTCTGAGAGTATTCTGTGGGCTATTAGCACTGTTGCAGGATGATGGGAGAGCCCAAGTCTGCAAGTCAGAGAAGCTTCACAAAGGTGGTCACATTTGAAGAGGGTTTTGAAGGATGAATGGGATTTATGAGAACTTAAAGGCAGAACATCCTAAATGCAACAAAGTAAAATCACTAAGGACTGGGGTTATTAAAGGAAGGTATTTAGAAAGGGAAGGATCTTATGCCAAAGTCAGAGGAAGTATGTAAGATTTAAATTCAAGTGCAGCAAGAGATGTTCAGAGGAGAGCACATGCTAATTGCACATAGTATTCCCTCTACTTAAAATGCTGCTCCTGTCCCCTTTCTGCCTATCCAATTTTTATTCACCAAGACTAGACTCCTTTGCAAAGATTTCCAAGCTATCTGTGAGGCCAATGGGCAAATTATTTTAACCTCTCTGAGTATGAGGAACTTTATCCCAACACCTGTTTCAAAGGATAGTCATAAAGATTAGGAGTAAGTGTATTCATAAGTTTCCTGGCACATAGTAGGTACTCAATATTTATGAAATGCAAAAAAGCCAGGATTGGCTTAGTATTTAGAAGGAGGCTGAACCCTAGTTGGCTTTGAACTCAAGGGCCCACCTGAACTCAAGGGCTTCTGAACCTCCTCACTGATGTTTGCCTTAAATCATACCTACTTCTCTAGGATAATTGAAGCTTCCTGAAAAGGGTGGAGGTGCGTATAGCTCAGTGGTGGAGAGCATGCTTAGTATGTGCCAAAGTCCTGGGTTTAATTCCTCATACCTCCATTAAAAAAAAGAAAAGTCTTTTTGCTTTACATATTAAATTTCACGAGCCCTGTACAAAATGTTTGTTAGTTTTCTTTCTCCCCCATTTATCCGTTAGCTCCTATAAGGGCAGAAGACCTTATAGTTCTGTTCCTTACACTGTTGTGAACTCCACAAAATGCTAGACAGTGTGCAACTAAGTATTCGTTCAATGAATGAAAGATGGGTACTTTACAAGTATTTATTGTATGAATGAATGATATGCTTTCTGGTCTGTCCTGTTTAAATTATTTGGCTGTAAGTTCCTTCCATACAAACATTAAATAGACCAAGGCATTGAATTTGTTTGCTTTCTCTACTCAAAATAGAAGTGTAAAAGGATCAAGGTTTTCTCAGTGTGATTTCACTAACATAGAGTGACATCCGGTGGTTACCTGAGGAAGAAATAATGCATACAAAGTCTATAATAGATTCCCAGATATAACAATATTGAGAATGATAAATTAAATAAAGTAGCAGAAAATAAAAAGAAAACATATTTTAAGCCACAGCCCCTCCCCTGCCCAGAGAAGTTTTTTTAAAAAATGCTGGTTGTGGGTTTTCAATCCACCGAAACTGTAAAGGAAGCAGATTACTTCAAAAAAAAAAAACACCTATTTTCTTTTTTCTTTTCTTTTTTTTTTTAAACAAAAATTGCAACATAATGATTGGTGGCGGGAAAAACAAATTTATTTATACCTGTCTGTAGAAAGATCCTGGGTTGAAACGAGATATAACTTGGCAGGTGAAAATCAGACGACTCAAATGTTTCCGTTTTGCAAAGTCTTTCAGGTTAGAGAAAGCATTTACTTACAAGGCAGGATATACTTAACGTCTCTTGGAAACTTGTAAGGGATAGTTACCTGTGAGACCGCAGAACCTTCAGGAGACAGAAATATTTCCCATGATCTCCCGGGTAAAGAAGCGACTGGGGCGGGCCACGTGGATTGGCCCGATCGCACGCTCTGACTCAGATTGGTCGAGCCTGCCCAGACTCTGGAGGGCGGCGGGGTGGAAAGCGGAAGCGCGCTCTTTCAAACTCGCCGTCCCATCGTCGATAGACTCAGGCCACTTCCGGCGTAGCCATGGCGGCTAACGCTACCACTAACCCGTCGCAGCTTCTCCCTCTAGGTAATCGTTGTTCTGTGGGGAGCTGGGGCGGGAAGCTGAAATTTAAGAGTTGGGGACCGCGGGGCAGCGTAGCCTCTGGTTAAGTGTTAGAAAATGTATCGGACCAGTTGCTTGCTTTCTGTGGGTCTCTCTTCCAGGCTCCAAGTCTCTATGGCCTCAGGCCGCCCACGTTTCTTCTTTGGCGTGGTAGGGTCTTCTTGAGGCAGGGACTTTTGACTCCTTAAACCTAAGTGTCACCGGATAAGACTCACAGTTAGTGACTGCGTCGTCGGCCTTCTTTGTTTGAATTCGCCTTTACAGTAGTGGGTAGCAGTCCCGTTCCTCAACCTGGCATTTAAACCCCCCAGATTAGAACCTGTTGTCTGTCTGGCCGGCTGAGAGGCACTGCGTTCTGGAATGAGCCTTAAACGAGGACTCTGGAAACTAGTCCTACTTGTCATACATTCATTCAACAAAGTTATGGCGCGTCTGCGCACTTGATACCGTGACTGGGCACTATTCTTAAATCACGGTCATTGTCTTCAAATAGCATACAAACCAGTGCAGGAGATAGGATACCGGACAAATAAACAAACCAGATAATGGTGAGCCTGCTAAAGAGATGTTCAAGCTGCTGTGAGAGTACAGAGGATAGACTTCTTGGGGGTGGAGGGGACGTAGTGACAAGAAGGAATCTCTGGTGAAGACAGTTACGTTTCTCTCTTCCTAATATTTTGTATCTGAAGGATTGAGTTAGTGGTTGTGGCCTTGACTGAAAAGTTTTTTCCTTCGTTGGACAAACTCTTTGAATGCCCAGTGTACATCAGGCTGTGTCCATTGGAGATACAGTGATGAGTAAAAACAACCACGGTCTCTGCTCTCATGGAGATTAGAGTCTGGAGGGGGTTCGTATGTTAATCAAATAATCTAAAGTGGTATTAAGCCGCAACCGTGATAAATTGCTACAAAGGATGGGTAAGTGGAGAACAGGGAAAACTTTTCCGTTAATGGGATGATTGAACGGAGATGTGTAGTGTGAGATACAAAGTTCTTATGAGTACTTTCCCTGGCTTATCTTTCACCATATGCAAGTAATAAGGCTCTCACGTATTTGAAGCAATGAATGAGCAAAATAACATTGCTTCTTCTCCCCAACCTTTTTTCCTTAAAAAAAAATGTCCATAGAACTTGTGGACAAGTGTATAGGATCAAGAATTCACATTGTGATGAAGAGTGATAAGGAGATTGTTGGCACACTTCTGGGATTTGATGACTTTGTCAGTATCCTTTTAAAAGGTGGTGGCATGGGTTTTTCTTCAGTCTGCCTGTCTTTCTTTCATATTTAAAAAAGAAATAGACTGTAGATAGTACTTACTGATTACTACAGTAAAAATTAATTTTCTTGGAAACTGTGATAATGTTTTAAGAGGTGTGTGTACTGAAAGAATGTGAAGTTCCTACCAATCACAAGCATTTTGAATTTGAGTCATTGTGTTCAATATTATAATTAAAACTGAACAAAGGCACAATCCAGGGTAAATTTAACTTGTATATTTATTTTCTTAACACCAAATTTCAGATATGGTGCTGGAAGATGTCACAGAATTGTGAGTAGTGTTAAAAATTAAAGAATGGGGCAGGGGGAAATCTTTTTCTAATTTAAGACAATTTTATTACTGTTGAGTCAGTAAAATGCTGAGAAAACACTGCCTGTTTGAATTACTCTAAAGTAGAAATTTGACCTACTGATGTTAGTAAAATTGGATTGGAAGGTTTTACCTTAATGTAATTGTCACTAAATTGCCAGGAAATTAGTGGAGACAAGGCTTTAAGGTAAAGGATTAAAAGCAGCCAGGGATCTTAGGGCTCAGGTCAAATAAAGGAACTAATAATAAGAGCATTTAATGCTTTTAATTAAATTAATTACTCTGTAACATATATAGTAGAAAATATAAATGGTGACTCAGTTACATTAATTATAAAGATTGCAACCAGTAGCTCTGCTTTCAGAATTGAATTGTTTACAGATTGGTATAGTAGATAGGAATCAGTAGTAAACAATAGTAAAAAGAGGGAAGTTTGTAAACATTTTACTTCACATTTGATCTCCTTGGCAAAGTTTCAGCTTTTCAGATGAAGATCAGGCGTAGTGGATGCGGATCTTAGATCAGTCAGTCCACTCAGCTGCCTTTGGGGAAGAGCGTACCTCACCCAGTGGATAACCTTTGTCTCTGCACTGTTGGTACATTTGCCTGACCTCATGTTCCTATATATGCAATAATTAACCTTTGGGGGATCAAAATGTTGGCTTTGATTATCACTATTTATCCTGACTTTTTTTTAAATCTATTTGTTCAGCGAAATCACACCAGAAGGAAGAAGAATTACTAAATTAGATCAAATTTTGCTAAATGGAAATAATATAACAATGGTAAGACATAGTAAAGCTGTTTTATTTAGATGTTAAGCCATGTTTGTGGGGCACAGATTACGGAACTAACTTGGTTGACTAAATGCTCATGGCCCAGTGGTGCTTCAGATGGGAAAGGGATGCTCTAGTGGTCAGGGCTTGAAAGCCAAGCTGTTGAAGATGACATTGGGCCTAAGAGTACTTTGCTTGTGCTTTTTAATCATTTTACCAAGAATCATTGTTCAGACACTGAGTATTAAGTGATGATGTTGGAATTGTAAACAGCAGTGACATGAAGAAAATGGGAATATGAGGGCGGGGTAAAGAGGCAAAAGTGGCTTTGGTCAATGAAGAGCTCTCAGTAGGGGTTTTTAGATGATGTAGTAGTGATGGTATTAAACTTTTTATTCCTTTGCAGCTAGTTCCTGGAGGAGAAGGACCCGAAGTATGAATGGATTTCCTTGACTTACACTAGATTCTGTTTTGTTTTATAATGACAGCAAAATAGAATTTCTTTTTAACCTTTTAATGTTTGGATTCTGTGAAGCCAAGCTTCCCGTTAAAGGGAAATGCTTTGAAGATGCATTGTAAATGCCCATTTTTGTAAGTTAGTTATGATTATCTTGGGAAAAAAAGTTTGTTCTTTGAAGACAAAAATAAAGGTGTTTTTGGCTTACTATCATTGTATTTAGTATACTGAAATAGCCAGTGGAACAAAGCTTGCAGTTATTTTGTCAATTGCTTTCCTGTCAATTTTTGCTTATTTGCTTTCACATTTACATGACCATTTGATTCTCAAACAAAAATTGATCCAAAAAAGATGATGAGGTTTGATTTTTTTGCATTTAAAAAACCTGAAATGATTACTTACAAAATTCAAACTCTGATGCTTTGAAATGAGGATTTTTCTACTGAACTCAAGTTCCATTAACTCCTGTTAAAAACAAACAAGCAAAGTACACAGATAATATATGCACATTGTAGAAATGCAGATAAAGTAAAAAGGAGAATAGTAATCACACTTTGCTGTGTATCCTCTTAGGCTTTCTCAGTATACTCTCAGTACACATTTTATTTTTACAAAAACATGCTTTCCTGAATATACTGTTTTGTAGCCTCCCTGTAAGACTTTTAAAATTTATATGGTGGGCATCTTTCCATGTCAGATATTTCAGTAACATTAATGTGTGCATAATATTTCATTAAATGGGTTTACTATAACTTATTTAGCCTCTTCTTTATTACTGGCCACAGTAATCTAACTAAATCATTATACATTTTTACCTTTCTTAGAATTAATTCACAAATGTGTAAGGTCAAAGGGTCAATACTGTCATGTTGCCAGCGAAAAGTTTTTGCCACCCTACAAATAGTTGTAATTTTTCATAGTACCCTTCACATACTTAGCAACACTGGCTATGTTCTGTCTTCTCTTTTTGCCATAGCAATGGGCAAAACTTGGTATGTTTAAATTTTTAAAAATTAATTTTGAACTCATTTGCATTTTGTGAATTATATTAGGCTTTTGCCATTGAGATACTTTTCTTTTTCTTACTAATCTGTAAAAATGCTTAATAGGTTACTCTTAATCATGCATTTTACAATAACTTCCCCAGTTTATAGTTTGCCTACTAGTGGTACATTTTTGGCATGAATAATGTGTTTTTATATAGTCATGTGTTGGTCTCCTCCTTTATGGCTTTTGTCTATGGTTAGAACCATAGACGTAACACATGGTTTAGAAAGACCTTCTTTGCTCTGATTATATGTTTTTTTTGGTACTTTATATTTTCTTTGTTTCATTTAACTCTTGAATCCACCTTCAATTTAGTATTTCCAAATTAAAAAGAAACAACAGCTTTATTTTCTAAAAAGCAAAGCACTGATTTGTAGTATTTTTTGATTTTCACAGTGTACTCCTACTGTGGCTGATTTCAAGCTGCCATGGATTTAATAGCTGGCTTGTAAACTTCCCAAAGATTTAACAGTAGGTCCTCAGGAGCCAGTAGGAGCCTGTTATCCCACCCCACTGCTTCTGACCCTAGTTGGAGGGAGGGGGGGAATACTTTCCCTCCTGTTACTTTTCACTTTGGAGGAAGCATAGATGATGTAATACCACCCTCTTTCCACCCTTTTACTTGCTGTCCTGCAGGAACTGGGTGGTCCTGCTCAGTCTTTACTTTTTTCCTCCTAGGAGTTTGTAGCCTGCAGGGAGCACATGTTCTTAATTCCAAAATGCTATGTGTTTTAGAGAAGCCTGACCTCACTTAGGGAGGCTTACCACTAATCTATTTTGTGGCAAGGAGGATAATTTTACTTCTAGGGTTCAGTGATAGGAAATTCACTTGTCTACAGATAAACTGTCTCAATCTAGTCTTAAGCAGTAATAAAGATGGCCTGACTCCCATCTGCTTACACTTTTGTCTTACATTGCAATTACTTTAGATTGAGTACAATTCTAAATAAGGGTTTGTTAACCTCAGTGCCATTGACGTTTTTGCCTGGATAATTCTTTGTTGTGGGGGCTGTCCTGTGCATTGGAGAATGCTCAGCAGCATCCCTAGCGTCTATCCACTAGATGCCAGTAGCATCCTTCTTCTTCCCTGCTCCCCTCAGTTGTAACAGGAATGGCTCCAGATGTTGCCAAATGTCCCCTGAGGGCAAAATAATCACCAGTGGTTGAGAACTACTGTTCTAAATAATACAGGTGCTATTTATTGGGCCCTCTAAAATCCCCTAACATTTAGAGTGCATGGACAAGGAATACTGAATCTAGATGAGTAAAAGTTGGGGAGAAAAGGTGATTGAGGATTCTGACAGAGTGAAAGATGGCTTTAAGCAGAAACAATGTATTTGGTGCTAATCGTATAGGATTTTCACTTTGGCAGGTTGCTGGTGAGTGGCTGTTTTTGTGTAGGTGTTTCCTTTCTGTGAAGGCAGGGCTGTGTGTGTTGGCCCTATGGTGAAGGTGAGGACTCAGTAAGAATGAGAGCAGAAAAGGCAGAATCTTTGCCGGCATTGGTGACTTAGGTCAGTTTTCTCAAACTTTGGTTTCAAAACTAGTATGAAAACAAGTCAGAATGACTTGGAGAGCTACTAAAGAACTCAGGTCCAGGCTTGTTGAATAGGTTAGAGCCTTGGCCCTTCATATTTTACCAAGTTCCTAAGTTCTCCAGGTAATTCTGTTCCTCACCATAAGCCTAAGACCCACTGCCTGAACGTGTAGGCTCCTGCAGGTGCACATGAACGAAAGATTTGATTATAGAGATGAGAATCTGTATACAGATCTTTCATACATTAGTGGATGGAACAGTATTTGCTGCATTTAAACTGCAAGGCAGCTAAGTTCTATGAACTGTAGAGCAGTAGTGGAGTTTTAGTTTAAATTGTTAGTGCCAGGCCTCAGCAGGCACTAACATCTGCTACCTTTTACTGCTACCATCTACTACAGCCATCTGCTAATCTGAATGCCAGACTTTGGTCTGGACCGGAGCGTGGAATGTTGGAGCCACGTGCCTTGTCCTTAGGCTTGAGGGTCACTTCCCATCAATGTAATGTCAGTTTTGCTCTTCAGGATTAATTTATTCATTATACAAGCTTTAATCATGTCTTTAGATTTCAGGGTCCAAAATTGCAACTTCATCCATAGAGATGTGGCAGATTTTTATTAACAAAAAATGTGGGCCCCTATGGTAAAAGAATATGCCATCTTCTAGGATTGCAGTTGAGAAAAATCTCAGTGAAATTATTATAATATATATATATAACTGAATCACTGTGTTGTACAGCAGAAACTAATACAACATTGTAAATCAACTATACTTGAATTTTAAAAAATTATTGTAAACCGAAGGCGGAAGGCCTGTGATTGGGGCTTTTTTTTTTTCAAATTTTATTTTGTGACAACTTCAAACTTACTGAAGAAAAGTTGTAAGAATATCAGAAAGAGCTCTTACATGTTCTCACTCAGACCCCACTCAAGTTTTGTCACTTTCCCCAAGTGTCCAAAGCAGAATGACCCAGTCCTGGATCATGCGCTGTACTCGATTGTGTTACTCTAGTCTCCTTCAATCTGGAATAGTCCTTCAGTCTTCCCTTGACTTTCTTGACCCTGACATTAATGAAGATTGCTGATTAGTTATTGTAGAATATCCCTCAGTTTGTGACACTTCCCCACAAGTAGGCCAGAGTATGCATTTCTGGCAGGTGTATCACAAGAGTAAAGCTATTCCTCCCAAAGCGTCTCATTGGGTGGCACATAATATCAATTAGTTCCATTTCTGATGGTATTAACTTTGTACTTTGATGGATGACATCTGCAGGTTTTGATTATAAAGTTAATTTCCTTTTATTTTCACTATTTTGTGGGTTGACTAAGAGCATGTAAATACTCTGTTTTTTACCTCACTTTAACTCACCAGTTCTTTTACTCATCAGTGTTTCTTATTGAAATTAATTAGTAGTTAATTATTAATTATTGAGTAATTAAGTCGGGTATTGGAAAACAAGGTGGCATTCAATGACTCATGGGAATAAGACGGAGGAAACTACTTGAAGAAGGGTGTTTCTAAGTATGAGAAGAGAATAATGACTAATTATTTGAAATATTTTGAATTTGTAGAGATTCATGATTCTGGCCAGGATGTGGAGAAATTGGAGCCCTTGTACACTGTAGGTAGGAATATGAAATGGTACAGCTGCTGTGGAAAGCAGTATGGTGGTTCCTCAAAAAATTAAAAATAACATTACCATATGATCCAGCAATCCCACTTCTGGGTGTATACCCCAAAAGAATTTTTGAAAGCAAAGTCTTGAAGAGATGTTTGTATACTTAAACATGATTAAGATGTTAAATTATGTTGTGTGTATTTTACCACAATAAAAAATTGGAAAAACTGATGATTCCCTAATACTAAAAAAGAGTGTTGCAAAAATGGCCCATCTTTGTCTGTTTTGATATCCTTGTCTTTTGTATGGATGTGTGCCTTGCAACTTCTATACAGAGGTGCAATCTATTTAACCTTAAATCTAGGCTGGCTCTGTGAATTGCTTTGATCAAGAGAATGTGGCCGAAGTGATGTGTCAGTTTCTGAGCCTAGGCCACCAGTGGCCTTGTGCACTAGGGCTTACTTTCTCCTCTCCCTCTGAACCTTGGCACTACTCTGTGGACAAACCAGGGCTAGCCTGCTGGGTGATGAGGGAAATGTAGCCCCAGCCAGCAATCAGCCATCTGGCTGATATGTAAGTGAGGCTTCTAGCAGCTAGCCCGGACCAACCCACTGGCTGACAACAGACACAAGAATGAGCCTAACCAAAATTAGCCAAGCCTAGCCCAAATCAGGAATGCCCAGCTGACCCAAAGACTCTTGAGGAATAATTAGGGGCTTGGGATTGCACAACTTGTGAAATCACTGAATATTTGAATGGCTTGCTATATCAACATTGGAAGAGAGTATTATAGCAAATCTTTACTCTAAAATTGGTAATTAAGCTCTTGCCACCTTGTTTTCCAATACCCGACTTAATCTAAGCTCCTCCCTTTCAGTAGGAACTGTATTTCAGGGTAACCATATAGTACTGGTTAAGGAAGGAAAACTAAGGTTGATAAAGAACTTGGTATTCACAGCGGAAGAGTATCACCCTTTTGATTACTTACAAGTCAGAAAGGGGAAAGCAGTTGTATAATGGAGAGATCTTGCTGTCTCCTCTGTAACACAGTGGTCAATTGGTGTGGTTTCTTAAATAGGCCAATGTCATGAAAAAAAAAAAAGTGGAAGTGGTGACTGTATAATAAAGACCCAACTGCAGTGGATGGCCCTTGCCTGTCTGATTGGAACAAGTCAGCTGAAAAGATTTTGGAGAAAAGTTTGGGAAATTTAAATATTTACAGTACATTAGATGATATTAGGGAGTTATTGATGTTAGCTGTAGTAATACTCTGTGGTTATGGAGGAGAATCTCAATTTTTTGATTTCTAGTCAAGATAGCAGAGTAGTAGGACCACGAGCTTGCCTCTCCTTGCAACTACAACAAAACCAAAACTGATTGCGAAATGACCATCAAAAAAAGGACAAACCTAGCAAAAAAGATCTTCACCTGGAAACATAGAGTGGAACCACAGCAGGACGGTAAGAGAGGCATGCTCGCTATATAATCAGGCCCCATACCTACCTCCTGGGGGTCAACCCAAGCTGAAGAATAATTAAGTTGCAGAGGCCCTCCCAC